ATTATGTAGCTGAGCATTTTAACTATTTTTATTACTTCATATCATTTACCCTTTGGTTCCATTAGTTTTTCCAGGGCAATAATTTTACCCTAGTGTAAACTAGAATGCATAATGTTTCAAAATGGAAATAATGTGCACCATTCTGCTTAGAATTAAAAAAAGAAACTTGGATATTAAGAAATTACTACTCAAGCTAGACTTTGGTCATAATATTTGAACTACTATAGACAATATCATGAGATGTTTCATATAAAAAAAGTTATAATTTGATATTTTAAATATTTTATATTAATCTTATACTGTATGGTCTAGTAGAATCTTGGAAAAGTCAACCAATTGGAGTGATTCATGTGTATACACAATTAATCAGTTTAAAAATGATACAATGTATATTTTTCCAATGTTAAGCCCAAGTACTTTTTCTTCCTCAGTGTATTAAAAGAGATTTTCTGAGAAAAGAAGAATACAAATTTTAGCAGAGTGAAGACTGCCTGATTTTATAAATGATTGTCTGCTATGTTTTTTCCTCATCCTCAGAAAAGTCCTGAATTTTAATCTACCTTGTAGATACTACATTTGGTCATGTTTGTTTGTTCTAACAAAAGTTTAGATTCTCTATAAAAAATAAAACAATTTATTTTACATTAAAATATTTTCAACCCCCTGGCCACTGAAGAGCTATCATTACATGATATATGAAAGTATTCTTCCTGTACTCTAAGAAATTTCTTATAAAATATATCATTTTAAAATGTTTTCAGTAATTGACTGTATCTAAAAGGTTAACATTTTGATAATACTGAAGAAATTTCTAAAATGTCATACAATGTGAACATGGAATAATTTCCAAAACTAAGCTCTCTTAAATTATTGAACATGAAAAGTTTTGTTCAAGTAGCAGTTTCTCAGCCCAAAGCATTTAACCCACAGGCTGAAATAGCCGGTCTGAATTTGTGACGAGTAAGCATAAAATTGAAATGGCCTAGCTGACAGGCACTTACTTTAGAATCAGGAAGTGTTTATTTTAGTACAGTTTCATAATCCTTATCTGAGGTGTGTGGACTGCAATGTATTTTGAATTTTTCAGATTTTTATAACTGTTATAGAGTATATATGTCTTATATTATTTAAAACCCTGGTGAGGCCCAGGACAATATTTCATAGTTAAACACATTACAATTTTTGCAAAATTGTGTGAATGTTCACATTAAGTAGGACAAATTTCAGTTTAGTTTAGGCTAGGTACCAAATGATTTCAGCTTAGGTTAGATTTGGCCACCATATTGACAGTGAAAGAAGCCTTTCTTTTCAGACATTTTTATATTGTAATATGAGATTAGTAACCTGAAGTAGTTCTGCTAATGATTAGGTATGCTTGATTATTTTTCTGAACCTCAGTCATTTCAAATGCTAAAATGAGAAGCTAGACTAAGTATTTTTGAACTCTTCAAATTCTATCTTTCTTTTCTTCTTCTTCTTTTTTTTTTTTTTTTCAGTAATGGGGATTGAACCTAGGGCCTTGCACATACTAGGCAAGTGCTCTACCACTAAGCTACATCCCCAGCCCAAACTTTTCAAATTCTAAATCTAAATGTTTATCCAATTCTGTGATACAAGAAGTATTACAATTAAAATAGTTTTATAATACCTCAATTTAATGATTCCTTAGTTTTGAGGCCTTCAATATTCTTGAATGGTAAGTATTAATTATAATTGTTATCTAAAGATTCAATACATAGGTCAAGAAGAGTTTCCATTTGGTCTTCTATGTAGTTGAAATAAAGCTAGTTTTCAAATTCATGAAGACAGATTAGTTTTTGGTTACAACTTTGATTTCCAGAATACATTGGAATATAAGATTTGTAGGGCCATAATTAAATTTGTCTCTAGATGAGAAACATTTTATGAGTTGCATGATTTCCTTTGAAAACCCAGAAGAACAAATTATCCAGGGATAGACAGGCTTAAACCAAGGTAGCCAAAAGGGAATCTGCCAAACCTCATTTTGTTTCAGATCCTGAATCTTTGAAAAAATAATTTCTAAATCTAAAAATGCTGGGATTCCATTGAGGAAATACTAAACATGGTCAATTAGAGGACCTGTGAGGTCTCCTACTAGGTAGAAATGGCACATTTGAACATTAAACTACAGATGGAGATCAAGATATATTATGTATGGATACAAATTCCCTATGATGAATATGATCATTATGTATATCTAAAATGTGCCAATAAAATCAATTTTTAAAAAAGCCATAGGTAAGGAATTAAATAAAAACAACAGATCAGGTGTAATAGGCCAGAGCTAACAAACCAGCCTACATCCTTTCTAGAGAATTGTTTTATACATATTACCTGTATTATACAAAAATTTTTAAAATTATCATTGGGCACGGAATCCTCTTCAGTTTTCTGTTTCTCTGCTGTTTTCTATGGTCTTGCCTTTGTCACTTTTCTCATTTAACTTTCCTGGTGGGCTCTGATGACATTTAAATTGGCCACACCTATCTGGAGGCTATATAATCAAAGCAAATTATAAGAAATTGAAAGGTTATGATAGGGAGAGAGAGGTTACATTATGAACTTAGGAATTGTTGTTGCCATTCTTCTGAGTGGCTAGACGACATCCAGATACCACTAGTTACATTTTATTAATTGTCTCAAATAGAATTAATTGAGTACCTACTATATGTTATGTAGGCACTGGGGATATAATAAAAAATAAGACACAGTAAACATGTCTCTTGGAGGAGAGAGACTTCAAATAATTAAACATGCAAATGTGAAGACAGATACAAATTATCATGGAAAAGAATTAGTTGAGAGAGGAGCTTGAGGCCCTCCTTTATTGTGTTAGTCAAGCTTTTCTTGCTGAGACCAAACTTCAGAAAACAAATTTAAAGAAGGAAAGATTTATTTTAGCTCATGGTTGCAGTGGTTTTAGTCCCTGGTCACTTGGATTTGTTGCTTCTGGCCCTTTAGGGAGGCAGAAACATTACAGCAGGAGGGCATCGCAGAGGAAAGCTGTTCACTTCATGGCAGCCAGGAAGCAAAGAAGGAAAGAGCCAGAGAGGAAGTGGCTAGGGACAAGACATACCTTTCAAAGTCACGCCCATAGTGATTTGCTTCCTCCAACTAGGCCCCAATAGTTCAGCTAATGAACACATCGATGGATTTATCCACTTGATGAATTTAGAGATCTCATGATACATCCATTCAGTTCCTCAAAGCCAGTGGTGAAAAGTTTCAACACAATGAGACTTTTGGGGGATGTGTAGGATCCCAACCATAACACTTAGTTAGAAAGGTCTGATTGGGTCTCTCTGAGGAGGTAATATGTTGGTTGAGCTGAACGCAGGAAGAAACTAAGCAGGTAATCAGAGAAAAGAAGTATCTTTAGGGCAGAGGGAGCAGTAAGTAGGAAAGCCTTGAGGCAATATGGACATGGTTTCTTTGAGAATGAGAAAGACCAGTGTGGTTGGAATGTTTGAGGGGATGAGTGAAGTAATGACTGAAGTGAGGTTATGCTGGATTTTATAGGCCATTGAAAGGAGTTTGGATCCTATTTTAAATGAGCAATGGGAAACCACTGAGAGGATTTCAAGCAAGGTCAGATTAGAGTTTTTAAAGGGTCATTGTGTGGAAAATGGACTGAAAGGTAGAATTGCTGCTAACATCCAAGCAGTAAGCGGACTTGTGTTGAGACCCTGGCAATGGGCATATTGGATGTGCATATTTTAGAAGAAGAATATTAATGGGTAAGATGTGGATATGAGTAGAAAAATCTCTAAAGGGAGTATTTGCAATGTTATTAAAGTCTTGAAGCAAGACTTTCTTGCCCAAGACCCTGTAGAATTTATACACTGGAGTTTATCCCTATATTCCTAAAACTTGTGGGCAATTTATGTAATTCATGGTATCTTAACATTTTTAAAAGTCACGGACATTGGCTATTTTCTCCTCTATTTAAGAAGGTTTTGGTTACTTCCAAGGCCACCTACATATGGATGTTTCAGCCAGTAGATGTAGAACAAAATTTTATGAAAAGTGGGTGCTGTTACTTACAGAGCCATTTGACTATTTTGTTTGCCCTGTGAGTGATGTGTTTCTGAAAAAGATGTTATTTCAGTTCAGTGTTAACACAAGCTGAGCTCTCAGGAAGTAAATGTTGAAACAGATGATTGTCAGGGACCCACACCTATGGAAGGAAGGAAGAGGCAATATTGGCAAAGTCAACTTCATTGCAATTCCAACGTCTAGACTAAGCCAGCAGGAAACTCTGTAGCAAATATTTGACATCAGAGTGTCCTACATTGAATCCAAACTGCTTCATATTCACTTTGCTCAAGTCACTGGGCATGGCTGCCCTTTAAAGGGTATGGAATACGCTCTTATCTGCAGCTTAGTTCAACCCTGAAGGAGGTGACACCTGTAGGCTGTCTGCAGTCTACATTCCCATAGACAGTCAGGGAGTCTTTCCTGAAAGGGAAGTCTGGCTGGTTCATCACCACATGGTAAGTGCTGCACTACTTGTAATAGAAATAGTAATTTAGGTCCAGGGATTTAGTTCAGTGGTTCCACCGCCTGCCTCGCAAGCTCAAAGACCCGAGTTCAATCCCTGGAAAAAAAAAAAAAAAAAAAAGAAAGAAAGAAAGAAGTAGTAATTTATTCTTCATTGTATGTAGTTTCCTTCCTCCCAGGAACTCAAGATAAAATACACAGAGCTGTCTAACCACTAAATGTTTTTCAGCTTGGACAATAAAGGATGTTTAAGAGGGAAAAGATTGCAAGGAGTGACCAAGTACAAGAACAACATAGAAGGAAAACACTAATGGGAGAGAAGCTCCTAGGGGCCAGGGAAAGCTAATTTTAATATAATACACACAGTTATGGCATCCACTTCTGGGCCCTATTTTTGAAAGTATTTCAATTAACACATCTTTTAAAACATTTAAAAAATAACACTGTGAAAACTAAAGTGTTTCTTTTTTTCTTGACAGATACGGAAAACAGGAATAAGAGAGATTGGCCATTCATGACAATTCAGAGAAATGCTAGCTCAGGTATTTTTCTACTTGCAACTCTGTTTTATGATTGATAGTGGGTTGTGCATTGTGGAAATGAAATAATGACAGAATGTTGATTTCCAAAATTTTAATAAAAAAAAGTTCATTTTATGGTTACATTGAATGGTTGACCAATCCTCTTATAATAGTCTGTTTTCATCTTTAACAGTGGCCTGCTGGGGATTTAGCTCAGTGGTGCAGCCACCTGCCTTGCATGTGCAAGGTCCTGAGTTCTATCCCAGTACCAAAAACAAACAAACAAACAAACAAAACAATGACCAGGACAATCGTGCTATCTTCTGCTGTGCTTATCTTGTAATCATTTGGAAGATTCTTAAAAGTTACATGATCCATGATTTCTCTAATATGTCCTAATTACTTTATGTAGCACAGATTAGTTATTCATATAATTGAGACAGAAGTACATTCTTTGCTTGAATTACTCAGGTTATTACATTTCATGCTACTTGTCTTAGCATATCTTCAACCTATGTTTTACTTTATCAAGAAGGTTACTATAATACTAAATTATGACCTTGTATGCATTTGGGTGGAGAAAATCCAAATACTCTATATAGTTATATTATTTTTTTACTTATTATACATTTAGTTTTCAGTTTCAACCTTTTTTAAAATTTAAATTATTTTGATTTATCTCAGCTAGAAGATCATCTATAATTTAAGAATGTATTTATGTAATTTGATTACTAAAGATGTGGTACTTAATATATTCACAGTTGATACCTAGCACATTTTAATAAGAATAATAGATTAGCAGAGGTCATAGTTGGCATTATAGTTTTCTACGATCCACAATATATTAACTCCCATGTAATTATTCCCTCTCTGCTCCTTTAGAAGTAATGTTATGCAAGGAATTTAGTAGCCATATTCTAAGAGCTTCTAGAAATAGAGGTTAAAATACATTATGAACATAGTATTTTACTGTGTCTTATGCGCTTAAAAATATTTAACAATAAGATATGAAGTAAACATTTTCTCCTTAACTATATTTGAGTTCCAATCACATATTATTTTTTTCTCATTTTTCTTTTTTCTGACAAATAGATAATCTGTTATTCTGTATGAAAAACGGGATGAGAAGAATCAAGTATAAGCCAGTAGACTATCAACAGTTACATGCATTAACTGAAGCAAAGAAATTAGCTTCTGCTTCTATAGAGCAAAAGGTTAGAAGTTGTGTGTATGTACAATTTTTTTTCTAGTTTTGGAAAATTGAATTTCTAGAAAGTATATTATTATTTACATTGCACATGCAAAAATAAATGGTTGTCTAAATGGTTCTTAAACTCTCCTAATTATTAATAATAGTGAACAGCAGCTAACATTTACTGAATGTTCTCAGACTCTGTTATATAATTTACATGCAATATTCATTTAATTTTTATAACAGCTCTATGAGACCTAATTCAACTTTGTTTTTGGAAAGATAGTTACTTTCAATAATTTAAGACTTAATCTGGAAAATAATTGCTAATGAGTGCCAGTCGTGGATTATTATCTGATTTAAGTCTGCTTCTTCAACACAGTGTAAATGTACCTCTATTCTGGAATTCTCTTCTTTGCTGATATACATATCCTGTGCCAAGAAAAGGTCAACCTGGAACTTGCTCAAATAATACATTTTATTAAAAGTGACATTTTTCATTGTTTCCTTATATGGAAAAACTGTTTTAGTGAAGTAATACATTGATTTACAAGTTTTCATTTTTATTTAAAATGTTCATATTTTGTTAGTTTTGCATGGCTTTTCATTATTATCTTTTTAATGTTTTTTCTTTTAACTGCATGTTTGCAGTACATGCAGTTTATAATCATCTTGGGGAGTGGTTACATGTACATACCATTATCTATTTCAAAAGGCAACCATTATGGACAGGGGATTTAGCTCAGTGGTTTCACTGACTGCTGCGCAAGTGCAAGGACCTGAGTTCGATCCCTGGTACCAAAAAAAAAAAAAAAAAGGCAACCATTGTGATTCCAAAGCACATTTGATACTGTATTTCAGAGAGATTACCATATATCTATGAATTACATCCTCTTACACTAAGGTAACTTAAAAAGTAAGTTTTTATTTGTTTCAGATATAACTCTAAAGAAACTTCATGATATGAGAACATTCAAAGACATTTTATAGAAGAAAATCACATAAATGTAATCCTAATAAAATTGTTTCTATATCTCTGACTTATTCTGATCTATTGTACACAAACCACAAGTGCAAATACATACATAGATAATTATAAAAATTTATTACATATCTTATTTTGTGCCATAACACAAACATGAATCCTATATACTTTTCTCTTTAACATTTTCCCATGTTATTTTATATAATTTTATATGATATTTAATTACTCTAGTCAACAAATCTTAATCGTGTGCGTACCATTAGCCCTGAAGATACAACAGTGAACAAAATATAGCCCTTAGCCTCATGTACTGTAGTATTTGCTGGGAAAAGAAAAGGTGTCAATATTTATTAAATAAGTCTGGAAATAAATTATATTAAGTATAAACTGCAAGAAAACATGCTGTCTGGTATATAATTAAGAGGACACAATCCTGATTGGGTGGGTAGGAAAGGCCTTTCTGAGGAAGTGACATTGAAATTGAGATCTGAAGGCCAGTAGGAATTAAGTAAAAACAGGAGTGACAAATATTGTACTGTACTCCAAATAGAAAATGATGCATGCATTATTACACTTTATTTTATTTGGGTAGTATTCTATTTGGTGATGTTGGAAATACTACTGTGGTAAAATTCTTCATGTACACAGACTTTTCCATGTTTTAAAATCCTCTACCCACACAGGATAAATTCCCATGACTGAGATGTTTAGGCCAAGAAATACAAAATTTTTTAGTGTTTTTGAGACTTATTACCAATTTTTTTCTCTCAAGGTGTTGTTTTTTAAAAAGATGTCAACACAACACAAATGTATTTTCTACACGTTGTCAGTATTAGAATATGTACATGCATATTGCTAATATTATCCATCCATCCATTCATACATCTGAGATATGGCAGAAAAGATATTTTAGCTGAATGTAGAGTAGTTGAGTGTTAAAGTTGTGTCAGTATTTGGTCAAGGTAAATTTCTCTTTGATGAAAGACTTGATATCAAAGAACAGACATATTTAAGATTTTTAATTATTATTATGATTTGAAAATTTGACTTTAAGTGCAGGAACAATAGTTTCTCAGCACTGTCAGCTGGTGGATTATATTTCTAGTCACTGTACTGTACATTTGTAAGGTTAAACATAGCTTCTAATATCACTAACCTTTTTGTTCATAGTCCAGGAAGAGTTTTAGTCACATATTTTCTAGAGATAGATTTGTATTTGCAATTCATAGCTTAGTAAATCTCAAAAAATCGATGTCCTCAATTACTGAAAATGGTTCACTCTGTAGTATTCTTTTGTTATTTTGGTACTGGGGATTGAACTCAGGACCTTGCACTTGCAAGGCAGGAGTGGTTGTAGTAATCATTTTGATAAGCTTTTGCTTCCACTGTTAGTCTCCAGAGATTCATAATGATAAGGACTGGTCCTTTTAAAGCATTTTTGTACTGTCTCTTTTTCTGCTTGTTGATAAGTGAGAATCAAATGTGTCCTGTGTATTGCATAATAACACTTTCTTTTTTTCTTCATTCAGTTTAAATTATATCTGGATTAAGGAATATGTATTGGGAATATTATCCATAACTTTTGGAGTTTTCCCTTCTCAGTTAATTTATAGGTGGCAGTTGACATTTTGCTTTTAATTTATTTTGTAAGATGTGAACAATTCCTAAATAGGACCTTTTCTTAAAAGACTCATGGCTTAAATAGAATTAAATAACTGGAAATTAAATAGTTCTTAAGTTTATTTTTTAAATATCATGGATGCTAATATACTAAACAGTCTATACTAACTGGCGTTATTGTTACAACATGAACTTTGTTATTTTTTTCTTATACTATTATTTAAATTTTAATAAAATATGTGTTGACTCAAAAAGAATGTGATTCTTCTTAATGTTACATAGCTAACACATTGTCTCCTAATATTTGTATTAATTATCACTCTATCTTCCTGTTTATTTTACTACTTAAATGTGCTAATTTTCTACACATAAAATTAACAATTTTAGCAATCATTGTTATTACAGTGCTTTATTCTGGCAATATTAAATATATTTATACTGACTGAAAGGATGTTAACATTTAAATAATATGAGAGTGTTACACCAAGTTATTATTTAGAATAAACAGCTGCTTGCCTTCTACTACTGATACTATTGTACTCATTAGATGAGATGATTATCTATATAATCACTGTGCCATTGATCATGATCAATATCTGGATAGATGCCAGATGAGACACTAAAATGGATATTGAGTCTTTCAAATGCTGAGGTTGAATTTGGAGACAAGTAGTGGATCTGGGCTGAAAATCAAAACTACTTTTTCCTGCGTTGTATGTAACTGCGTATTCTCAATGTATTAAGTATAAAAGGAATATTTACAATTACTTTTATTTGAATTTTCTTGCTTAGCAAAAATAAATATTTCTTTCTGTCTAACTCAGGTATCATCTACTAATTCTTTTAAAAAATCTCATGTAATGGAAAATTATAAACATGCAAACTTAGTTGAATGGGATAATCAATCTCTAAGTAACATCATCCAGCTTCAACAACTATCCACTTTTGGTCATTGTTCCATTATAATCCTACCTACAAATACCTCCTATACCAAATTGTTCTCAAGCAAATCTTAAACATGATAATAATTTATCCATAAATATGTCAGCATGTAACTCTAAACTATTAGAACTTTAAAAACTCTATGCAATTATGATGTCTAATATCATCAGTGTTAAATATACTTGAAATTGTCATTAGAGTTTATTTATATCAGCATCCAAATAAGATCCATATGTTGTAGTAAGTTTTTATTAGATTTCATCTTCTTGTATTTTTTTAATTTAGTTTTTGAATAAATTGCATTATTTATCCTTTATATGGTAGTTTTTTTTTAAACATTTTTTTATTGGTCCATGTTTGTAGTACATGATGTTTACATTCATCTTAGAAAGTAGGTACAGGTACTTAACATACCATGATTCTTTTTATTTCCCTTTCCCTCCTATTATTCTCCTCCCTCCACCTCTAGCCCTCCTCCTCCTAATTTAATTTTAATTCATGTTTGTGACTCATAATAATTACATACATTGGGGTCATTGTAACATATGTATGACACATCTTAATTCTTTTTACATACATATTTGCAGTGCATAATGTTTATATTCCTCCTGTGGAGTTGATACATGTACATAACACATCTTTTTAAAAACTAATTTTATTGGTACATTTTAGATATACATAATGATCACATTCATCATAGGAAATTTGTACCTGTATATAACATATCTTGTATCTTCTTTTTCCCCCAATCCCGTCCCCTCTGTTCAATCCTGCTTCCCCTCCTTTTTTTTTTTTTACAAGACCTTTTTTTCCATTTTTTCCTTTGATTCTTTTAAAAATTTATTTTCCCTTTCTCCCTTTCCCCTTCCCCTGCCCTTGTTCCTTTTCCCATTGGAACATTTTCTTCCTATTTCTTCATATCTATTATACATTTTGGTCCTTATTTACCCTTTTGTTTTTTAATACCACAGAAACAATATGATATTTAAACATGTGTGTCTGATTTATTTCACTTTAGAGTATGGTCTCAGGTGCATCCATTTACCTAGAAATGTGTCAAGTTTATCCTTCTTTATCGCAGAGTAATACTACATTGTATTAAAACCCCATATCTTCTTTATCCATTCATCCATCGATGGGCATTTGGGCTGTTTCCAAGATTTAGCTATTATAAACTGTGTTCCTATAAACATGTGTGTGTATATATTGCTGTGGTATTATGGTTTTAATTCTTTTGTGAAGATACCAAGAAGAGGAATAGCTGGGTCAAACGGAACCTCTGGTTTTAGTTTTTTGAGGAATCTCCACACTGATTTCCACAGTGGTTGGACTAGTCTACACTCCCTCCAACAGGAGAAGGGTTCCTTTCTCCCCTTCAGCCCAGCCAGCGTTTGCTATTGGTTGATTTCCAGATAATAGCTATTCTTTCTGGAGTGACATCGAATCTCAGTGTTGTTTTAATTTGCATCTCTCAA